GTCCTTGCAGCAGGCTTCTGGTGGGTCTCCCTGCTTTGTCCTTGACCCACTAGGCATGGACGTCCATTTGGTCCTTAGCTCAATGCAGAGACAGCAGAGAGCCTGAGTGGACAGATCAGACAGCAGAGATCACACAATGTGAAATCAGACCTTCTCACTCTCGTACCCAAAACTCTTTACTGGTTTCCCATCACACTAGGAATAAAATCCTACAAGGCCCTGCAGCCCTCAGCTGCATCTCCAACCTCATATACTCCTTTTCCGCTCATTTGATTCTGGCCACCCTGGTTTCCCTGCTCCTCCACGGACACACCAGACCCACTTCCACCTCTGGGCTTTCACACGGGCTGTCCCCTCTGATCTGAATGTGCCTGCACCCCGTATATGCTTGGCCCATTCCTTCTCTTCAGACAGGTCTTGGTTCAAATGTCATCTCACGTGGAAGCCTTTGCTTGTTTATTGGGTCATTGTCTGTCTCCCCATCTGAATAAAACATAAGCTCTGTGAGGGTACTCTTTGCTTTATTTGCCGCCGTAGCCCTAGTGTCTGGAGCACAGAAACTGACACTAATATTTTTTGAATAAATGGAGGAACATCCTAATGATGTCTGTTGGTGTCTTTTCACCAACCACACAGTGAATGAGTGATTGAGGCTCCTAGTGGTGTCTGTTGGCACCTTGTGGCATCACACAGATGATTTCTTTCCTGTGGGATTGATGCAGAGACTGCAGAAACATGACATCTCATTTCTTGGATCATCCTTCTTTTCCCAATTTCTACACAATGGAACATCACAGGACTGAGCCCAGGAACCTCTTCATTCTCTATATCAGCTTCATTCTCTGTATCAGCTCTCACTGCTGGGAGAGACCCAGGAGCGCCGCAGGGGAAAGGGATGATAAGGGACTGCCAGAAGGGGCCAGACCGCCTTTGGCACAGGACTTGGAAAGCACTGGGCTGAGGATGGAGCGGACTTGCTTTCCTGGAATATATCCACCACTCCCCAGGGTCCAGGCAATTTGGCACATCGGAGTAAAAAGAAATTGCAGTCTGAAATGGCTGGATTTACAGTTGCCGGTGCGTTCTATCAGTGATAAGCACCCATCCAGAAGCCTGGCTGGGAAAAGAATGACACTTCGATCTCTGGGCCACAGACAAGACAGGGGCTAGCAGACGGCCTGGAGATCTGGCAGGGTCGAATACCAGAGCTAACTGCCCTAGTCATTAGCACTTTCTGAACAAAAACTGGGTAACAGGTGAGTGCAAGGCTCGGAAGTGGTTTAGTTTCACCAAGCCAGTTCTCCCCTTGGAAGGATGGGAGGGAAGATAAACCACAGGGTAGACAAAGGAAAATGCAGCCCCCTCTCATGATTTGCGGTTCTGGTCCATAAAGTTGCCAAGAACACTGAAATAGCAAAATATTGAACCGTCGCTCCCCAGGGAAATGCAGACTTAGTTCCTGCCAGCCTCTAGCTTTTGGTCAGCTGAGCAATCCATAACCTTGAGTTGTTTCTGTTTAAAGACACCTTACGTAGTAAGTCATGTTCATGTATTAATATTGAAGATGCAGGCAGCAGCACTAGAACTCATGCCTGAATGAAGCTTATCGAACACACATTCTCTCTGGAAGGCACATCCCAGCCTCCTTACCACTAGGCACCCTAGGCTTCGGGGCCACTTGAAACAACGAGATCGCCAACAAAAAACACAAAAAATCTGACACACATTGCACAAATAGACCTGAAAAGGACACTTGTTTTCAGCACAGGAGCTGAAGCGAGAAGGCAGAGTGTTGTCCAAGCTCAGCTGGGCCTGTCCCAAGCTTTCACACACGGCCCCCGTCCAGCGGCACAGCCAGAGCCCAGCCAGTGTTCAGAAAGAGTGACAGCAAGTGTCCCTGACCCTGTTGCGAGGAGAATGGCCTCTGGGTTAGAAGCTGGGTAAGAGGAGGGCCGTGCTGCGGCCATTGCCCACCAGGAAGGGAGGGACAGAACCCTGGCCAGGCAGAGGCAGTGAGGAGAGCTTGTCTGTCTGCACGTAAATTCCCATTTCCAGAGGGCAGGGGTTTCTGTGGTCCAAGGAATTGTTTTTGTCAAGCTTCGGGGACCAGTGTTGGCTTCCTTCCAGGCCCTTCTCGGCACCAGGCATGCCTAGTAGCCCTCCGCATGAAACGTGGCATTTCATCCTCAACAGGCCTGAAGTGACTTGTCCACTGTCACACAGCAGGTCAGAGCCCCAGACCAAAGACCCCCTGACCCCAGCTCCATTCTGTCCCCTGTCCCCTCACCCCCTTTATAAATCTCCTCTGCAGCTGCAGTGAGGCCAGGAAGGAGCTTGCCCGAGAGGCTCCAGGAAACCCCTCCCTCCTCATCGCGCCCAAACTTTCCTTTTCCTCCCTCCCCCACTTCCTCTCTCCCACCCCATCCACCTCCTCTCCTCCTCTGGGAGCCCACTGCTCCGACCACCAGTGTCCTACCCAACTGGCGGAGGCAACTGGGCAGCCCTAGGACCACTTCCCCCAGGACAGCGTCTGTAAGCTTTGCTGACCCCAGCAGAGCACTTAAGGGGGAGGGACCCCTCTGGCTCTGGGTCTGTGATTGCTGACGAGGACCTGCCCACCTTGTCCTTCCCTTAAGCCTCCTGGAGTGGTGACCATCATAGCCCGGCCTTGGAATCACTTGAGGAATTTTTAGAGATCTGATGCCCAGACCAATTCAATGAGAACCCCATGGCTGGTCTGAGGCATATGAATCTCCAGCTATCTTCAGCCCTGCTGAGCTCCTGTGCTACTTCGTAGGCCCTGGCACCCCCACCCCCACCCCAGAAACCCAGAATTCTCTGGAAGATCAGGCAAATGATGTTACTCACGATAGTTAGAGGGAAGACATTTAGCCTATATTAACGAATTAATTAATCTTTTAGAGGGGGGAGGGACGGGGGCGAGGGAGGGAGAGAATCTGAAGCAGGCTCCACGGCCCAGGGCAGATTCCGATGGAGGGCTTGATCTCTCAACCCCGAGATCATGACATGAGCCAGAATCAAGAGTCGATCGCTTAACCCACTGAGCCACCCAAACGACCCTAGTCTATGTTAATTTAAATGTGACAAACCTTCTCACATTCCTTAATGCTTGTGTTCAAATACTTACATCATTTAAGAAGGCAGAGTCTTCCAATCAGAATATTCTTAGTAGAGCGAGAGGCTAAAAGTAACCTTTACAGGACAAAGAAACACTGAGCTATCTGGGGATCTTCAAGGATCTCCTTGCACACTTGCTTTCAAGGGTTGGTTTTTTTCTTTAAGATTTTATTTATTTGTTTATCTTAGAGAAAGAGAGTGCAAGTGGGGTAAAGGGCAGGGGGGAGAGAATCTGAAGCTGACTCCGTGCTGAGCACGGAGCCTGACACGGGGTTGGATCTCAAAACCCTAATATCATGACCTGAACCAAAACCAAAGAGTCCGAGGCTCAACGCACTGAGCCACCCAGGCGCCCCGCCCAGGGTGGTTTTAACAACGCAGAACTGCCCATGACATTTTCACACAAGATCTCATACCAGGCCAGAAAGTAAGACAGGCTCTTGTCTCAACACCCTCTGCTCCCCACTTGCTCTGAACTAGCTCTGCGATGCAGAAGAGCATTGGCATTTGTACAACTATGGGCGGGGAGGGAGCAACCTTGCTCACCTGGCTGAGATTTCTTTCCCGGGTGCAGCTAGGAGGCTGGTGTGGGCTGGCTGGGGCGGGCGGGGGGGGGGGGGGGGGGGGGGGGGGGGGGGGGGGGGGGGGGGGGGGGGGGGGGGGGGGGGGCGTGGAACATGGAGCATGCGCTGTTGGGCCCTGGAACCTGGGCAGGAGCCCTGGGAGCGAAGGCAGGGGCTCTCCTCCGTGGGGCGGCCGTGAGCATAGGGCGCAGGGCTGGGACAGCAAGAGTCTAAGAGTATGGCATGGAGCGAGGGGCTGTGGCTTAGGGTGTAGGGGCGGATATGGGCTTGGGGGAAGATGGCAGGGCTGAGGCTGGTAGAAGGCAGGGGTGGCCTGTGAGGGGTCCAAATGCCATGCTAACATGCCGCGTGTGGGTGGGGGCTTCCACCTCTGGAAAGACGCCCCTGCCCCAGATGCAGCGTGGAGAGTGGCCCGAGAGGCACGGAGGCAGCTGGAAGGATGCCAGGGCAGCGGACCGCCGAGGGTGGGGCTTTCCTCTTGGGCAGCAGTCGGTCAGGGGCGCAGGTCAGTGGCAGGCTGTCTGCGGAGGGAGTCGTGGCATGCAGACACCCAGAATCTTGCCCGCCCTCCCTGGGCCGTTGCCTGCCCCCTGCTCCTCTCTCCTTCCTTTTCAAGCCTCTCCTCAAGGAAGTGGGGTCAGGTGTGGCCACTGGCTGCTCACCCACGTGGGGACCGACCTTGCAGCCTCATCGGGGCACTCGGGCTGTGTCAGCTTTGGTTTCTAATGGGTGGAGGACAAGGCTCAGGAGTCTCCTCGGACAACTTGGGGGCTGTAAGATCCAGTCATACAGAGACCCGCTGGAACGGGAAGCAGAGAGCCCAGGGCAGGGACACAGGGAGCAGGGAGGGCCCACGATGGCCCGGTCCTTCTTTGCATCTGCATCTCTCCTCCCCAGTCGCGAGCACAGCAGCCCAGTGGATAAGGACTTCCAAGTGTTAGAACAGAAAAAGCACCTGCAGCCTCTCTCCACCATTTCCAGAGGCTTCAGAGGTAAAGGATGTATTCCAGGCTAAAGTCAGGTAATCAGCAGAGCAAGACTGAGATCCCCTCCTGAGATCCAATCCAGAGTCTGGAGCTTTCCCGTGTTCATATTTTGTTGGATGAAACCATGCATTCTGTGTCTTTGGAAATTCCCTGTGGAGGAGGCTAGCCCTGTCCTCTGAACTGGGAGCCAGATTCAACTGACCTTTGTCCTTGAGGCAAAGACCTGGTCCACGGGCCCAGGTCAGGTACACAAAGGGAGAGCAGGTCCCAGCCCTTGTTCTTTAAAGCAGGAAACCTCATGTCCTGCTACAGACCCGTCAGAGTCTCCAGGAGATCCTGATGCACGCAGCTCACCACATAGCATACGATGAATCAGGACATGGAGCTATGGAAGCAAATGTTCCAGGAATTAATTCAGGAAGTGAAGCCATGGCACATATGGACCCTGACAGTAGACAAAGACCTTCTTCCCAACAGCCTTAAGCCAGGATGGTCACAGTACCAGCAGCGGGTTTTTGCCAGGTGAGTGGGGAAAGGGATGGTATGTCTTCCAGAAAATTCTTGTTTATTTGTTACCCATGCTTGCACATGGAAGACTACAGGAAGTATGGTGCTCATCATCCAAGAAGTTTTAGCTTTGGTAAAGGGTTTTTTCTTTATCACAGTGAACCCCAAACAGTAGCAGGGCTGGGCACTGGTGTGGGCTGCATAGGGGCTGGGGGGGGGAGCAGTGAAGAAGAGCTGGGTGGGCAAAGTTCCCACCTCGGAGGACCTGGGGCTCACTATGGAGCCCAGGAGGGAGAGGTCCCGCGGGCTGAGGAGGCCCCTCCAGGAGAGGGCAGAGGTGAAGGTAGTTGAGCAACATGCAGCAAGCAGTCTTGCTCCCTGTGCTCTGGGCTGATGGATCCTTTTAAACTAAGACTCTTGGAAGTCATCCAAAGCCTTACCCTTTTTCCCAGGTGGGAAAGCAGAGCCCCAAGGGTCAGGGGGTGGGGCCGCCCCCTTGCACAGAGGGTGGGGGCCTGAGACTCTCTCCTAGGCCTGGGGCAGGGCCTCGGTGCCTGCCCACTGCCCTCCTCTCTGGGGAGGGTCTGGGCAGAGGAAGCAGAGGTCTCCTCTCCTTGTGGCCCATGGCTTTCCCGGGCCAGGAGCTGGCACCAAGAGCATCCAAGCAAAATCTCAGTCCCCGCCCCCCTTCTTTTGTGAGAACATTGAACTCTGAGCTGGCACTGAACAGAGCAATATAACCCAGAGGGAGGGCCGGGGCAAGCAGCTCAGGAGAGCAGAGTCCAGGGCCCTGTGCACCACCGACTCCGAATGACCCCAGTGAGGGCATCTCACTCATGGTGGTCAGAACCTCTTGGCCTCTTCCCTTCATTTCATGGCCATGCTCACCCTGTGAGGTGCGGCCAGAATCAAAACACAAGAAGGAAACCTTGACTGGCTCATTCTTCCCAGCCCCCTCCAATTCACCATCCCAGGTTAGTCGAGGCTTGGCTGCTAGAACAGATAAACCTCGAAATATCAATGATTTGACCTAACACGTGGTCCCCAGGTCACCGAGGCAGAGGAAGAGGAGCTGGAGGGTTTTCCAAGAGCTTCTGTGCCAGATTTAGAAATAACACGTCACTGCCCACGTCCCGTTGGGCAACCAGTCATATTGCCCAACATAACTTCGAGGGGGTCGGGAAGTGGGCAGGAGTGCATGGATAATTTGGTGAGCATGAAATGTCCCTGCCATCCTGTAGCTTGTGCCTCTCCCATCATTCCTGTCCTGGGTGCAGCCATGTTCTTGTGTGCCTTCTTCCCCTCTCTCCATCATATCCTGACATATATTTGTCCAAATATCTGAGCTCAGGAAATTGCCCTCTTCCCTGCAGAGATGAGGTGTCATTCTCTCGTACCCTGAGGCTAGGTGCACACAGAACATGAAGTTTTCCAGGCTACCTTGAGCGATGAATTGGGTGGGAGAGGGAGCGAAAAGAGAGAGAGCTGGACACAGTGATCTCCCTAAAATACTGGCAGATTGGGGGCCCCTGGGCAACAGGGCAAAGCAATGCTTTTCCTCCAGACACTAGACCAGCCCTGATCTGTGGCTCTACGACTCACTGTCTTCGTCTGTTTGGGTGGCAATAAAATAAATAAGATAAAATGAAATAAAGAAATAAAGAAATAAAGAAATACACCAGACTGGGCAGCTTATACACAACAGAAATGTATTGCTCACAGTTCTAGAGGCTAGAAGTCCAAGATCAGGGTGTCAGCTAGTCTGGTGAAAGCCCTCTTCCGGGTTGTGGACTTCTCCTGTTATCCTCACGTGGTGGAAGGAGCTAGGGAGCTCTATGGGATCTCTTTGATAAGGGTACTAATCACATTCACATGGGCTACACCCTCCTGACCTAATCACCTCCCAAAGGCCTTCTAACATCATTACCTTTGGCGGTTTGGATTCCGATATGTGAAACCAGGGGGAAACACAAACTTTCAGACGGTAGCACCTACCAGCACCCACTTGTACCACCTGTGGATTTCAGTTCGGAGCTCTTGGGGGATGATTTAATAGCTGCGGTTGCCCCGTAGCCTCTGACCCACTTCAATCTACATTTGAAGAAGCCTTGGTTTGGGGTTAGGAGACCAGAGGTCTAGTCTTGCTTCTTACGCCCACCAAGTCTCTGCACATGATGGGTTCCAGCGTGCGCCTCATCTCTAGCACCATCGTGTAGGACTTAGAAGGTCCCTTCCAACACCAACAGCTTGTGATCTGTTATTTTCATGACAGACACCTGTGGGTCACAGCGCATGTTGGTGGCACAGTGGAGACAGGGGCTTGCTAATTTCTTCCCCCGCTAACCTCGACCCCAGTCAAGTCACGTCTCTGTGTGGTTGGGCGCCCCTTCCACCCTCTGGCCCAGCCCACAGCTCGGCCATCCTGGGCCAAGCTGAGGGTCTTGTCTTCTGTCCCCGCAGGTTCCAGTGCTCCTTGTGCTCTCGCAGTTGGGCCTCTGCTCAAGTTCAGGTCCTTTTCCACATGCACAAGAGTGGGGAGAAACCCAGGGGCAGGGTGAAGATGAGGGTCTTTGCCCAGAGATGTCAGAGATGCAATCAGTCTCCATTTGAGGTTCCCGAGTTCACAGAAGAGAACATCTCAAGGATCCTGAACAACCTGGTGTTCCGAATTCTGAAGAAATGCTACAGAGAAGGATTTAAGTCCATGGAGGAGATACCTACCATCAAGGAAATCTCTCTTAAAGGGATGCATGACAGTAACAACTGCGAGGCCTGTCTGCTGGGCTTTTGTGCTCAGAGTGGGTCAGGTGAGGCCCTGCAGTTACCAGTGTTGCCATCACTTCCTGCCGTTAGCTCACCTGCCCTTGGGACCGCCATCCCCATGCCCTCTCCCACTAGGAGTGGCGCCCCAGCAAACACAGTGAAGGGGAACACCCCAGCGGACACAGTGAAGGGGAACACCGGAGCGGACACAGTGAAGGGGAACACCGGAGCGGACACAGTGAAGGGGAACACCAGAGCAGAAGCAGTGAAGAAGAACGCCATGGGAAACAAGGGAAAGACTTTACCCCAACCCCGGTATACTGTGTCCACAAAGGCTACAATCCTCCCCACCCACTGGAGCTCAAGACCAAACACCCACCACCATATGGAGAGGAGAATCCAGGTCAGCACCTGGAGTGGGGTGCCCTATTGCCACACAGTCCAGAATCTCAGGTGCAGGAACTTTAATGCTTGCTGCTGTTTTTTCATTCTGATCATTGTTGTGGTGATTATTGTAGAGACCATTCAGTGGACCTCCACATGATGCCAGGTTCAAAGTCATGTAGTCTGGTCCCACGGATAGGAAATACGCAGAGGAGGTAAATCCAGAGACGGGAAGTAGCCTGGTGACTGCCAGGGGCTGTGGGGAAGGGAATTAATCGGTATGGGGCTTTTTGGGGGCAGAGGGTGGGTGGTGATGAAAATGTTCGGCACAAGATGGAGGGGGTGGTTATACAATACTGTGAATGCAGTACATGCCATTGAATTGTTTATTTTAAAGTGGTTGATTTCATGTGATTTTTAAGGGTTAATGTTAATTTCAATTCAACGCAGTTTTGTGTAAAGTTCGCTGACATTCTGCTCATTCTCAGAACTGAGACCGAAGCCTTTATGGCTCACAGAACTATTTGGAAATCTCATGAGACCTGTGGATCCTCTCTCCCCAGAGAAGCTTGCACAGACCCGGTGACGTCAGCCTGTGGAAGCACTTGCCGTGGTTTTCATTAGGTTGAAAGCCTGGGTCTCAAAGCAATGTTCTCCACAGCAGGGTCTGTGCAGCTCAGGGCTGCAGCAGGACCATCCACCCACGTGGGGGAGATAGCCTTCAAACTCTATTTCATGTTTCTTTGTACTTTACTATTCTTGTTGCACAGTTTATAATGTGCATTACTGTACTAGTAGAATGGTATTGTGACACAATGTGTAATTAAATAAATATACACCCATCTGGAGTGTGCACTCAGTTTCTCATTGACTTTTCACTTTTTCATTTTCAGAATTGAAACTCTATACCCATTAAACAACTCGCATTTTCTCCCTCCACCTCCTCCCTGCTAACGCCCATTCTTCTTTCTGTCTGTAGGAATAGGACTCCCCTGAGGACCTCATAGAGGTGGACTCATACAGTATTTGTCTTTTTGTCACTAGTTTATTTCACTTAGCATAATGTCCTCAAGTTTCATTCATGTTGTAGCGTGTGATGGGATTTCCTTCCTTTTTAAGGCTGAAGAACATTCCATGGTATGTATATACCACATTTTGTCTACCCATCTGTAGACATCTGGGAGGCTTCCAGCTCTTGGCTACTGTGACTAGTACTGCTAGGAACACGGGTGTACCAATAGCTCTTTGAGACCCTACTTTCAGCATACTCAGAAGTGGAATTGCTGGACCATACGGTGATTCTACTTTTAATTTTTGGAGGAACTGCCATGCTATTTACCGTAGGAATTGCATCACCTTACACTCCCACCAACAGGGACAAGGGTTCCAATTTCTCCATATCCTCACCAACAATTATTTTCTGGGGTTTTTTTCTTTGTTTGTTTTAATAATAGCTACACCAAAGGGTGTGAGGTGATACCTCACTGTATCTTTGATTTGGATATCTAGAAAATGCAGTTCTTTATGATGCACACTTCTTTTGAGGCAATATCAGAAATAATATTTGTACATCTCAGCACAGATGGAAGTATTGGGAACGCAACAGAAATGTGTGGGTAAATTCTTCACAGACTTGCTATTCATTTTCTAATATTTGGGCACAGTCTGTCTATCTATTTAGCAAATTCCAGAAATTTAACATGTAATAGTGGACAAGATAGTTTCAAACAGATGCCTAAGGAACAAGGGTGCCCAGCAGCCCATAAGGAGCTGGAAGCTGAGTGACCAGTGAGGTAGGGAGGACACGCTGGGTTAATATAAAAGGGGGTTCTTAGTAGAAGGCAAGTCATAAAATGTTAAAGATAGAATCAGCCTTAGAAATCATCTTCTCCAACTCTATTTTTTACAGGTAGGTAAAAGGTGAAGTGATTTTTCCCAAGATTATACGGTGTGTTAGTAAAAGAGCTGGTCTTGCAATCCTGACTCCCCAAGTCCCAGTGCCGATCAGCTTCCAGAAGAGACTGGAATGTGCGTGCACGCGTGTGTGCATGCACATTTGCACAATAAAGAGATGGCAAATATAGGGAGATTCGAAACATCTGTCGATATCTCCAGACAGACTCTACAGTGTTCGAAGATAGGCAAGGATGGGTGGAATGATTTGGAGTATGTCGATAAGGAAAACAAACTAGAAAATGGAATTTAGATCATCGGGACATTAAGGGAAGTCGATGTTGAACGATTTGTGAACTCACTGAAGACTGGCGTCAAGAACTTTAATTTCAGGAAAGAATTGGAAAGTTCTTTAAAATTCCAAGAAATGTTATTACGTGATCAAAAGTTACTCTAATAACACATACTGCTGCCGACAAGTAGGGTGGGAGAAGCTAGGCAAAGTGGTGCCCCTATGAATCAGGACGTGGAAAATGAGAATCGCATAAACCTACACCCACCACAACACAACACCTCAAAGTAGGCTTCCTTCCCACTCAGGAGTAGTGAGAGAGTCGAGAGATGGCAATGAGGTGGGAAGGAAGGGAGACAAAGAAGGAAAGACAGTAACTGATTTCTGGAGGTTACTGTTTGCCATCATCATTAAGTTACCCTAAACTGGTGTTTGGCAAGCATGCCTAATGGTCATTCTAGAAAGCTCCAGTTAAGAAATATGATGTGGTCCTTGCTGGTAATTAAAATGTACTACTCGATGATTTCACCTAAGTGTCTCTGCCCCTTAACAATCCAATGTCTGAAAAATGGGTATAATAATAAGCTTTTGGAACCAGAACATTTTTCTTCTAGGAATTACATTTTATTCTTTTATTCATATTGCTTTAATGCTCATACATATATCCTGCTATGGAAATTCCTTTTCCAAATTATGAGTCAGTCCATATGCGTCACGTAAAATTTTCAAATCTCTATGATATTTCCACTGAGATGCCCTATAATACTGCGGCATTTTTACATTTACATGAATAAATTAAATAGTATCTCTACAAATGTTATATTCAAACAATATATTTGGTATGGGATATAATGTAACACGAAATAATTATGTATTATATACTTTGCAATATTTTTCCTTTGTTTATATGTAGCACCAAAACAAGGTTTTTGCACAAAAGACTGGTTTTATTGAAATAAACTTTACATTATTCATGGACAATTTGTGTGAAAGCCCCTATTTGCCCCCTTTTAAGATTTATTTTCCATTTGGCTATATATAATGTATACCTTGCCATGAAATGCAATTTCAAAATCATTCAAGTAGTACAAGTAATAAATTTCAATTTCATTTTTGAAGAGTTAAAAAGAAAAATGCAATTGTTTGAGGTTCAATTGAAGTGATTTCTCATTTTCCTACTCTTTTCATCTCTTAACCTACTTCTCAGAGTTTGTTTTTAACTTGAAGCAATCCTCCGCTGAAGCATTACCATATGGTTTTAGAATGTTCTGCCTGTTTTGCATCTGTTGAGGATAAAACACTGGGAATTATGATTAAATCTATCAAGACAAAATATGGAGGGTGTCAATAGGGGCCCCTCTGGAGACAGAGTGTTCTTCAGATAAGAGAAAATAAAAATCACTCTTCCTGTCTTCCAAAAAACCCAACTGGCTAGACTTGTGTGTCCAATATGGCAGCCACCTGTGGCAATCTAAATTTAAATTTAATTAAAAATCCTTAATTATTCTAGAGGGGAGGGGGTGGGGGGATGGGTTAGCCTGGTGATGGGTATTAAAGAGGGCACGTTCTGTGTGGAGCACTGGGTGTTATGCACAAACAATGAATCATGGAACACTACATCAAAAACTAATGATATAATGTATGGTGATTAACATAACAATAAAAAATTTAAAAAAATCCTTAATTAAAAGTTCTTCACTTATACCAGTCATTATTCAAGTAGTCAAAACCACGTGTGTCTGGTGGTCACTACATTTGGACAGCACAGTTAAAGAACATTTCCATCACTGCAGAAAATTTTATTGGATGGCACTGAACTAGACCATGTAGGAGTCAATTCATATAGGAATATACGTAAATATATGCACTTTTTCCTTCTTAGTCACAAAAGCTACTTGTTAAAGCTTATTTTCAATTCACAGTCCTGTTTTCTTTTAGCCCAAAATCGTGGTATAAAAATAGACATTTGTACAATTTCTCCAAATCATGTGATGTGGTGTAAGAGTCCAAAGCCCTATCATGAATCCCATCCTTGCCAACAAAAAGCAGTCTCATGAGCTCCCTGTGGACAGCAGCACTGTGGCCTGGGCAAAGTCTTCCTGTAGCACCTGTCAGGAAAGCTTTCCTAGGCACTCCTCATCTGTAATGGACAAGTAGTCATCCCTGCTACCTTGTAAAGCCACCTTGGAGGAGGAGTCCCTAAGGGTACTGCCTCTGCTCCCTGCTCTAAGGTGCATCCTGGGACCCCCAAGGTACCCACTCAGAACAGGAGGACCATCCATGCAGGCCACGTAGGGCTTCCCAGGACCAGCCAGGACCACTATGCCTCTGTGAGGACTCCCAGCGCACCATCTGAGTATCCTGTGCCCGATGCATGGGCAGACAATCCAGCTCTTCTTTCTACCTTCAATGCCCAAATTATACCTAAAGTCTTACAAAATACAATTAAAATATATGAAAACAGCAGTTTGTATAAACCCAAGGAAAGCTTTTCTTAGTAAAAGAAATAATTCATTAAAACTCTTTCAAAATAAAATAAAATCTCATTTGGCTAGTCCCATATAAATGCTCTTTTTACAATCCCTTTATCCCTGGATTCCTAAAAACAGCGTAATCAACTCAGATTTTGGTCTCTAAGTTATAATTTAAAAAAAAAACACACTTTCTAAAATATTAAATGTGACTATTTGGAAACAAGTATATGCAAATGAACTTTTATATATAAACCCACTTAGCAATTCTCCAGTCCACAGAGAGAAGTATTTGCAAATGTGAAATCCGAAAGTCATTTTTCCTAATTATGACTGTGGTTTCTAGACTTTGTCCTTAAGTGCAAACCATTATTCCACAACACCAAGATTTATAGCTCCACGGCACAGGGAGATTCTGCAGTCTTCTAATGGATGGCATCAAAGCTGAACGCTAAAAGATACTTTGGTGGTATAGCTGGGAACAGATTCTGTAACAAAAGAAACAAAGATACTCAATCATTCCCCATTTTATCACAAAGTGTAGCTACAAAACATGGCTCATGTTAACACACAAAATACTACCACTTCTTATGTTAAACTATGGAGATAAATGGATTTATCTATCACCATTAAGTCAGCTTTCACAAATGTTTAGTCATGCTTTAGAAATATTTAGATCTAAGATAGAATTATTAACCCTCATTCTTTTGCAATCATTCCAACAAACTGACACAGCTACATCAGGATCTGAGAAACTGTATGACCCTAAAATAAGAAAAACTGACAAAACAGAAATAGATGGCCAAGGACCTGAGACAGCAGGTAAGACCCCAGGTGGAAGGGAAAATGGTTTATAAGCAAAGTTTGGGCTATTCCTAAACCAAGCGTGATCTTAGTAAGTACCCCTTTTACTCAGTCTTGCTCTTCTCACTGGTTACTGCCCACTCTCCCTTCACAGCCAAATTTTGTCAAAGGATCGTCTATACCAATGGCTCTCAAGGTGAGGCTCCCAGGCCCAAGGTGTCAACATCACCTGGGACCTTCTTAGAAATGCACATTCCAGGTCCTACCCCAGAGCTGCCGAGTCAAAATCTCTGAGGCAGGGCCTGCAGGTGATTCTTAGGGTCACTAACACTTGAGGACCAGCAAAGAGTTTTCACTTGCTCATCATTCTTAAATCACATGAGTTTGGAGGTCCACGTGACTTGCTAAAGCTACATTTTTTTCCCCCTTAGCTATGGACTCTGGTCAAAACCAGCTGAGTATTGGCAATATCATATGAACCAATATGAATACATGAAAGACAGAATTATTATAATTATTTAGAAATAAGTGAATGAGTTCAAAAGCTATCATCACTAAAGTTAACCTTACAGAGCAAATTATTTTATCACTGACCAACAGATCCAAAGCTAACTACCTATTTTCTCTAATTCTTTCTTGCATTTTTAAACAATAGCTCTAAAATGTAATTATGAATAAATCTATAAAATACAACAATAAAGGTTTTCACAAGAGGAAACTTATACAACCCAAAGATAAATTTTGACAAAATAAATGGTTCTGCTATTTGTTTCATGTTTCATATAAATGTCTCATTTATTTCATACTATTTCAGCATTCAAGATTGGGGACAGCCAAATGGATTGGAGGTAACTGCATAGAGATTTGCTTAATTTAGTTGAAAAAAAAATTTTAATTTGCCAAATAAATGGTATTTTTCATTGATGTCATGAAACCCCTGAATATCTGAATGTGACCAATCATCCTTCATCTGGAATGCGCAGCCATCGCCAGGAAGGAGGTGGTTAGAAGAACAAAGGGTGCTTATGGCTTCTTCCTGTATTTCTGTGCTTACCACAGAAGGAAGGGCTTCTACCTTCCAGAACACTTTGGAAACAGCCCCTGGGGAAATAGCTTCCCGCCCTTTCCTGAGGTCCTGTGACCTCCCCCTGCTCCTGGGTATTATCACCACCCTGTGGGAAACCAAAGCTAAAGGGATCTAGGTACTAGTCTGCCACCTCGTGTTTTTCCTTTTGTGATCTTTATATAAGTGGACCTTGATTTATGTAAGAAACAACTTTTCCTAAAGTTGAAGTTAAATGGATTTTGAAATGGAATCTTATTTTCCCATTAACCGGGATACTCTTTTGTCAATGTCATTTTGTTAAAAACTCATGCAACATCTCAAGTGTATGTTTCCAGGCCTCTCTGTCAAACAGTTGGTGATGTATCAAGTATTCAAGTACACTAGAAAAATTTGATATTTAAAAAAAATTATATACATATATATTTGGTACTTGGAAAAATAATCAATTAACCAATTAACTTTTTATCATTGTGAGTCATGTCAATAAATGTGTTGTATGAGTACATGGAATTCCATATATTTATTTAAAATAATTTTTAAAAGATTTTATTTATTTATTTATTTATTTGAGAGAGATAGAGCCCGGGAGAGGGGCCAAGGGAGAGAGAGAAGCAGACTCTGCACTAAGCACCGAGCCCAGTTTCAGGGCTTGATCTCAGGACCCCAAGATCATGACCTGAGCGGAAATCAAGAGTTGGATGCTTAACTGACTGAGCCACCCAGGTGCCCCTAAAATAATTTTAAATAAGATTAACGTACCTCTTTCCTTAACATCTTCGATATAGGCTTTCAAAAATTCTTTATCAAAGCATTGACGATCTCGTTCACTTTCCATCACTTCCACACCGTCTTGACACGGGGTATTATCAAGAGGATTGTCCATAAGGCTTACAAATCTATTCAAGAAAATATGGACAATATCACATTTTCACCTGCACATATTTAACCACAGAATTCCTCTCATAAGAAGTCAACCTCTGTGGTATTAAATCTCAAGTTCTTACTTATCTTTGAAGGTCACAGATGACCACATAATATTAGCATCACCAGTGGAACTGGTCCATGGAGTAATCCAATAGGATTATGGAATCAGTCCTGCTCAGAGGTCTGCTGGGGGGATGAGAGCTACTCAACCACAAACGGAAGACAGCAGGCAGGAGGCCCTGAGGTGGACACTAACACTTGCTCTCTGTCAGACCCTTCACACTGGATCATGTCCTGCTACGTTTGATATTACTCCCATGAATGATATCAAACTCTAAGATGAGGTGGGGTTAAATTATAAAGAAGTCAGATGGTCAATATCCTTGCAACTGAAAAGATGGATACTCTTACCAAAAAAAAGAAGCTCAAGGACAGAAACTAAAATGACGTTTGATCTCCTGTCCTGTTTTGAAAGATGTTTTGGTGTGAAAGACAATGTAATTATTTCAATTCAAACTTGGAAATCCCTCGAATAGTCTCTGGCTGCAAGTGTGAGCCCTTGCTGGCTTGGGTGGTATTGTTCTTATTGGTTTGTGGAAGCTCTATACACGTGGAAGATAAAGCCCACCTGTCCTATTTTTGTAACATATATTTCCCAGTTCTTTTTCCTTGTAATTTTATTTAATGTCTAAATTCGGAGAAAGCAAAAAGTCTTAAATTCTTTGTGGATAGATCCATGCAACTTTTCTTTTGCAAGCTCTTTTTTTTTTTTTTAAGATCTTATTTATTTGAGAGAGAGAGAGAGAAAGAGCATAAGTGAGGGGGGGAGGGGCAGAGGGAGAGGGGACCCGATGCAGGGCTCGATCTCAGGATTGTGAGACTATGACGTGAGCCGAAGGCAGCAGCTTAACCAACTGAGCCACCCATGTGCCCCCTTTGCAAGCTCTTTCATTGAGTTAATTTTTATCATCTGTCCCTATCCAAAAAAAAAAAAAAGAAAATGCCTATATTTCATCATTCTTCAATGTTTTATCAGAGTAATCACTGTAGGTATTTTAAAATTTGAATAGTGCAAGGATACTTTTTTATTTAAAACTATAGTCTGTCACCCGACCTCTGTGTCTCAGATCCCCAGAGTCAGTCTCTTTCATCGGTCAATCATTATTTTTACTTAACCTGCTGGAATTCTCTTCTACACAGGACCAATACTTCAATGTTGGTTAATCAAGCGGAGGTATTCCTTCCCTTCTCTTCAGTTCCCCAACCCTCCCACCTCCCAGCTTTTCTGATCTATACTTTCACCTTTTTCAACATTCCACTATGAAAATTTTCCAACATTCAGAAGTCAGGAAAATGCTACAGTGAACACACCCATCCCTGCCACCTAGGTTCCATATTTAAGATTTTACTGCACCTGCTTTATCACACCCCCACCCATGTATCCACCCCTCGATCTACTCATCGAGCCATCTTATTTTTTGATGCATTCAAAGCACATCACAGACGTCACGTACTTTCACTTTTACACCGTTAACACCAACACCATCCGCATTCTGGTCTGAAACCATACTTAACTTTTCTATCTTGCCTGCAGTTTGATTCCAAAATTGAAAAATTCATGCATCTAGAAAGGCTTGGTGATGCCTTCATGTTTGAGGCTGAGACCACTAAATGTTGGCTGGGCACCTGCACATGCAGACCATGCTTGCCCAGGCTCCAGCCCAGCATGGGTGACCACGCGGGCAAGGAGCTGCCAGTCCCCTGGGGAGGCTCCAAACACAAAACTCTGGGGTTTTTCCCCCGGGGCCACCCGAGACATAACCTCAGGCTTTTTGGTCAGGTGCTGAGTGGTCTGCCCAATGGAATCGAGGAGGAGATTGGAAGGCGGGGGATCGTCTGTGTACATGAAATTATCCTTTCATTTTTTAGCACCCTGCCTCAATCTGCACCAACCCGGACCTGGAATTTCTGACCACATGCTTCTTCAGAGTTCTCCACGGGCCGATGGGCTCAATTTCTTGGTTTGGTCTCTGAACTTGAGCCTATTCCATTCTATTTTTATCAGTCACCACTGTTCCACCTGCTGTATGTCTCCCAAAGCGTGGTGACATCTCTCGTTCTGTGAAGGCCTTCCCCTGCTTTCTCTGTCATGGGGCGTTTATAGGTTTTATTTATTTTTTTCCTCATCTCAATGGGATCTCAAGAAGGATAGGTGTTAAACACGTGGTCAATCCACACATCATTAACATGGCATTTATCGTTTTCTTTTTATAGTTTCTTTTTATAGTTTCCTTTTAATACTTAATCTGTGGCTTAATCTAGATGTCTCCCTAGATGACACACAGCATATATATGGCTACAGGCCATAAGTTTTCTGACGCTGTAAAGTGAAGAACAGGCTTTGTCCACCCTAATTAGCCAACTTCCCTAATGGTGTTTTAAGTCACTCAGACCTTCCGCACTGGTTTATGAAAACCCTGTATCATAGGTTAGGCTCACTTTCAGTACTACCTACTCTGTTCTTATAATTCATCCACAAATCATTGCCTAGCACCACCTCATTTTGATTCTTACACCTTTTAAACACGTTATGATTCTCAGTAAGGCAAATTCTATCCTGTTACTCTTGTTTTCCAAAATTATTGTCACTGTTCTTAGCTTCCTGCGTTTCAGATATCCCTTCCAATCAGTTGTTCAAGTTCCAAAAAAGAAATCCCACTGGAGTCATGGTTGAAATCACATTACACTGAAGTATAATTTTTGGAAGAGATCGCATCTTTATCTCCTTTTCACCCAGGAAAGATAGTATGTCTTTTCAAATACTCAAGACCTCTCTTTGATAGCCTTTGGGGACACTTTCTCATTTTCTTCACGTAAGAGAGCTATTTTACTAGCATCTTTTCTAGATCTCTTTCTTAGATTTTTCTATTTTTGGCTAATACAATTACTGCCATCATTCTTTCCATTATTTTTTATTGGTTATTTCTAAGAAACCAGTAAGACATAGAGGTCTTAATGCAAACTTATATCTAGTGTCTTTATTAAACTTTTATTAATTCAAAGAGCTTCCATCTGATTCCTTTAGATTTCCAAGTCCTACCATGACATCATTTGAAATGACTTTAGTTACCTGCACACAGGTCAGTTTTCCCCTCACCAGGAGTTCCCTTTCTGTCTTTGGTTGTGAAGCTGCTGCTCCTGGTTGCGTGGGTGTGGAAGGGGCTCCAAGGCGGCGGGGGGAGGGGGGTCCTGCTACCCCTCCCACCAGGGGGCCTCTTCCCAACCAGAAGACATTCCTAGGACAGCCAAGGGCAAGGGAAGACCCATTCCAGTGCAAGGTGTATGGTGGGCCAGTAGGGAGAAGATGTCATACCCCTGTTCATCTTGTGCTTAACACAGGAATGAATTTCGTCTCTCTCTTTGCAATAGTTCACTTCTCTATTTCTGTCTGCTATGCATCTTACTGCCAGGATCGGAAGATGAGGAAGATTTATGCCGAAGTGAGCATTTACCACAGAAAGAACTGGACATCTCTGGGAAATCGCCCCTTAATCGCCAATTAGCAAACACCTGGTATTCAAGGCAGATGGGTCCCGGGACACAGGGAGGAAGTAGCTCTCACTGGAGTAACCTCTTGTCAAGGTGGCCTGGAGTCAGCTTCAGGGGAGGGTGGAGCCGGGGCTTTTCAAGTCCACTTCCAAGGTAAAAAAGACTGTTCAAATGTCTCCTGCCAGATTAGAATCTGTATCACATTTGCAGGGATGGTTTTTCTTAGTTTGGGGTGGTTTACAGGTTCCTTTAAGGAAACCAGAGAAGCTTAAGACAACCAGGAGCCCTGGACGTGCACTTTGTCACGTTTCAAACAAAGCAGCGTTTGTCCAGAAATCCTCCAAGATCTACTTCCTCATGCCACTGGCCAAAAACTTCAAAATCCTGTAAAAAGGCATTGAAACTTCTGTGAACTGGGATTAGGTCCTCTGAGTCCAAGAACCATCCAATCTGGTTCCTGAGACAGGTGGGCGCCCAGGCTCCAGGTGCCCCTTACCTTGCGCGTGAATGTCTCTACAGGGATCTACTCACTTTAAAGGTGTGGATGAGTCACACAGGGCCGTCGGGAGCTCCACCAAATGGTCCCCACTGACAACTAACAAGGTGAGCTTCTTTAGGTTAAGCAAGGCATAAGGAAGATAACTCAGCTTGTTCTTATACAAGAGAAAGGTCTGCAGTTCTTCTAGCCTAAGAAGAAGTAAAACGGATTAGACTTTAAGGATTAACTTCATGGGGGGGGGGGGGAAATTCTGGTACGAAATCCCTACATAGTTTATTTTATGTATGTGACCCTATGAGAATAAACAGACTTTAAAATTTAAATAAAGTCATGCCAGGTGACACTATTTGGGTTTTTTTAAGTTTTCACTGGCTTAATTGCCAAGCAAAGACAAATATAACAGCAGGATAAGCAAACGGCGCATTATACATTAGTCTGGGAGGGGGCCTGACCAATCAGTACACCTCTCCAAGTGTCTGCCACATTCCCCGGGGTCAGCAGGGGATGGGAAAGGAACCCTACTGGAGTTGGGGCCGGGAATGAACAGATTTGGGCAACATGTTTCCTGGGGTATATCTTGAAAGCCCGATATTCCTCTCCCATCATATTTTCTAACTTTAAAATGGAAAGAAACCTGCAAAATGAAAAGGAAATGAGCAAAATGCGCTCCAGATATGTTTTATTTGTTTTCCGTTTTATTCTGACTCGGTGGACAACCCCCCCCCCCAGTTTTTTCTTGCATGCATTTGCAAAATCTTGACTGATCCCACAAATAGTTCACCAAGTTCCCCTCGTGTTTCAAACTAAAACAATTCCCACTTAGTCTCACAAACCTGGAAAGCACCAATACACATCATAAGTACCCGGAGTAGAAAAAGGTCATGTGAGTGACCTTTGGCACTAAGTCAGTTTTGGCTTCTGTGTCACGACAGCTTACTTATTATGCTCTATCTTTATAAAGAAGACTGTGGATCCCAGGAGGCCAGATACTTTGTTTCATTCACCATTTTAAACTCTGGGTCTGGCATTCAGGAGCCTAAAATCATTGGTGGGATGAATGAATGAAATAAATGAGTGAATGAATGGATCTTACATGACTCGGTATAATTTTTTTTTTTTTTTTGAGCTCTATGCTCAATGTGGGGCTTGAACTCACGACCCCACAATCAGGAGTCGCATGCTCTTCTGAATGAGCCAGCCAGGCAGCCTGGTGTAATTATTCTCTAAACACGAAATACAGGGATATAATTGGAAAAACCTCCTAATCACGTCGATTTTGTTTGAAAAATTATGTGTGATAAATCAATAAATGAAACAAAAAAATTATCCTCACCGATAGTCTAAACACAGAGTAATATGTTCCTCATCCAAAAATAACATATATATAAAGACACAGAGTGATATGTGTCTATTCCATATATAATAAAAATACTTTGCTATTTCTGTGGGGTAAAGGAAAGTTAATGATGTCATTCTTTTGAGGACTCAAGCAAATTAAAGTTCACCAAGACAGCAGAAATGTGTTCAAATGCACACACATATGCACACACATATGCACGCACATGTATGAGGCTGACTGGAAGCTGTCTTATCATATAAAGAATGAAACTCATTTCCCAGAAACAATAAGCTCTTGGAAAAGTCACTGATTTCAAAGACCATTCGTGTGTTATGCATGTTTAAAACGTTAACAGTGTCTAAGGCGTTAGTAAGTAATTCATACACCTCACCTTCAGAATGCGAGTAGCTACCTGTCTATATCTTGGGGCAGGTCACTCAGACTATTGTTGCTGATATCCAACCACTGCAAATTACACATCCTCAGGACACAGATCGGGACACTGGCAAACTTGTTTGCTGAGATATCTACGAATGTAACTTGCTTCAAGTTACTTAACTAGAAAGGAATAACAACATATTCTAATTACTATTGTAAGAGCCGGTATGTTCAACTACTAATTTTCAGGTGCTATTTCTTCCCAAAGGCCCTTCTAAGAATATATGCAACGCAGATCAGCAGAGTATGTATCTTGGAGCGCTGATGCGGGGCAGGCTGAGATCAACAGCACACAGGGGCTGCCCTGCAGGAGTTCACACTTTTAAAAATAAGCAATGCCATTTTATGTAGCAAGAACTAATGTGAAGAAGTTTTCAACTTGGAGCGTTCCGTAACACAGACATAAGGGGCTAATGTGCCGACGTCACGGTGGGGTAAGGGAAGGGGTCAGGAAAGATTTCACAGAGAATAGAGTTTTTACACTGGGTCCTGAGGTTCCTTGACAGGTGGAAAGATAGGGAAGTGAACTCCAGGTGGGAAACAACATGTGCAAAGTCACAGAAGACAAAAAGCGCAAGCCTTAAAAAAACAGAATGACTTGAAGACAGCCACAAGGAATTTTGGCAAATCTTAAAAAAGACGCACATTTGAACTTGTGAAGGGCATGGCAAAAGATCAGAAATCTCTACTCTTTATGTCCCATTTCCGTAATTTGTGTTTTTTAACATGGTAACTGGATATGCAGGGAAATATTTTTTTTATTTCAAATGCATATCTATGAATATTGAATGGAAAAGTGTCTCATGTTTGGATTTTTTTGTAAGTTGGGTCATGGCTGTGACAATATAGACAAATAGAAGGAGCTACCTTTTACTGACTTATTTTCAGAGTCCACAAATAACATTTGGGCTGCCTCTCAGAACACATTTTCCAAACTTATGAAATATGCAATATGGAGCCAGTTGGACCAACAGAAGGAAATGTGAAATGTAGAAAAGAAAGAATCAGTAGGCTTATGCCTCTCTTTACCTTAATATAATACCTAATTCCGTATTGCCACATTTGCTTTAGTGACACACAGGTCAAACTCACCCCCTTGAATGGGCACATTCTAATTTTGCTCTTGTTTTGAATTTATGAAAATGAATGTGAAGACAGTAATGTGACAGCGAATAAGCAGTCAAAAAAGATGTTTGGGGTGCCCAAAATTCAGTCTAAAGTCTCTGGCTGTGTTGCAGGGGTTCTCAGACCAGCAGAAAAATCAAGACTGAATTACCATCAGCCTCTCATCTTTCTCCTTTTTACAATAAATGTAGAAGGCGCATTTTTTTCAGCCTCTAAAAGATTAAGTTCTCTCCTTTCTTTTTTTTTTTAAGGTTTATTTATCTGACAGAGAGAGCGCACGCACAAGCAGGGGGAGCGGCAGGCAGAGGGAGAGGGAGAAGCCATGGGGCTTAATTCTAGGACCCTGGGATCATGACCTGAGCTGAAGACAGATGCTTAACCTACTGAGACACCCAGGTGCCCCAAGTTCTTTCCTTTAAATATCCTCAATAAATTAAGACTTCTGTGAAAATTAGAATAAGGAAAATCACAGTGGCATCAAACAAGCAAGGAGAGCAAATGCCTGGATATAGTCATTCCCCACTAACTACCTTCAGCAAGGGCAAAGCAAAACACTCAAACTCTTTTGAAAGGTAGTTAATATTTGCCTGACAATTCCGGTGCTGTCCAGATAAAAATCTGACATTCAGTCAAAATAAATACAACACTCATTTATACAGAAGTTTCATTATCTTTACCTTTGTCTCAAAATTCCTGGTAGTTCCCTCCATGGGTCATTCATTCTACTTGAGGTCTATTTGAACTTGAATTCAGGGTTGTGACAATTATTTGCGTGAGAAGCATCCTCATGAAGACAGGCACAATGATGCAAATACATTGAACCCTACCAAACCATACACTTAAAAATGGTCACAATGGTAAATGTAATGTTTTTAACCAAAGGGAAAATAATGTTCTAAAGCCAGCATTTGGATACCGCATCCAGGCAAACAGTGCTTTCCTGAGTCTGTAGAGGTGAGAACCTGGTGTGCTGTGTGCTTCCTTTGGATACTACAAGTTGGATACATGAGGCTGAGACATGACCTGTCTTCAGCTACATAGTTTCTATTTATCCTGAATAAGCCATACTTTGAACAGGTGGCTGAAATTTATGGCCAATGAGAACCATTCAGGCTGGAAATAGTGACATTATATACAAGAAGAGTCAGTGAGCTGTTTTAACAGAGCCACCTGGGGAAGTATAACAAGTACAGCGCATTTACAGAATCCCATTCAAAGCAAAGAGCCTAAAAAATCTATATCCCAAGTACATTTGCTCCCACCTATGTCAATATAGATGAATCAGCAGGACATTGCTGTTTGCCAACAAAAACAAAACAAACCAAAAAACAACCCAAATTGTGGTTGCCTAGCGCTGTTCAATATGCCAACTCATGCGGATTAACTGTAAACAGGTGAGACAGAATTTTGAGGGAATGCTTAAAATATCCTAAAAGTGAATTACTTATGGCTAAATCTGAAGGTCTATAAATTATATCTCAATAAAGGGGGGGAAACAGAGAAGGGACAGAGACGCAAGCCCAGAAAGGTTGTTGTCCCAGTCCAGATGATGGACAGCACGGGCTTGGGCAAGGGTGTTGGTGACCAGTTCCTGGGTGGTGGTCAGACACAGAACCTATTCTGAAGGGCATTTTCAATAGACTCACTTACAGAGTGAATACAGGGCATGGGAGCAAGAGAGGTGAAGATGACCTGGACTGTTTCCAGCCTGGACAACCAAGAGAAGACTGAGCCAATTTCCAAACTGGGGAAGCCTGGGGGCGCCTGCGTGGCTCAGTCAGTTAAGCATCTGCCTTCAGCTCAGGTCATGATCCCAGAACCTGGATGGAGCCCTGCATCAGGCTCTCTACTCTCCCACTCCCTCTGCTAGCGGGCACGCTCTTTCTCTCTCTGTCAAATAAATAAATAAAATCTTTAAAAATTAATTAATTAATTAAAATAAATAAACTAGAGAGGCCTGGGGAATGAGCAGTCTCATGCAGGGAGTCATGCCCCTGGGGAGACGCCCTCACCTGGACTGTCAGGCATTTCCTGGGGCGATAGTGGACGGAGCCACTTCCTCCCACCCAGAAGTTTCCAAGCAAGGAGAGTAACACCCCATCTAGGACTCTAATCAGCAGCCAGGGCCTTGTCTGGACCACACCAGCAACACTGTTTCCACTCTGTTCATTACCAGCAGGATTATGAGATCTCTATCTCCCTTCTCAAGAAGCCTGTTGAGTTTTGTTTGGCAACACTCTTTGCTCTCAGCTGCTCCATCTCATCAGAATGGGATTTTAAATCATTTCTCCAGTGAATACAGACCAAAAATCATTAACGAATATTGCTTAAATTAATGGACTTTTAAAATCCTATCTGTTAAGACTACTTTAGTTATCTACAAGTTTTTATGAATCTATAAACTTTTAAAAAGTTTTTACCCCCTTTATTTCCAACTGTCTCCAATTTATTTTACCACTGTGGGTTAAAAAAAATCCAGATCTGCATTACAGACAACAGGCATCATACATTGAATAGGCATTAAATAAAAATATCTTATATGAAAACAGGACATTTTTGCCTAGTTTTGTTTGTTTTTGATAGCTTTTCTGAACTTAAATTCAGCTCCTGGCCTAGTATAAAAACATTTTAAAAGACCTTCTAAATCGTTGGTATAGGGCGATTGAAATGTCAAGAAAGCATGATATAATAAAGATGGATTTCATCTTGTAAACTGCCTTCCCTGCATTATAGATCAGTCCATGTCATAAGCCAAATACAAGTAAATCACAATGCCAACATGACTGCTTTCTTACTTCGAAGGGGAGCTCGGTTAATTCTAGGTTTCCAGAACAATCCAGTTTCTCTAGATTTTCACAGTCTCCCAGTTCTGGAGGAATGCTCCTTAGATGGTTGAAACTCACATTGAGTTCTTTCAGGTTCTTCAAACGACCTGTCGTCAGAACAAATGAACATCCATGGGGAAGATCCTTTAAGGTCTTTTAATAACAAACACAAGACCAAGATATAAAACTTTTGTATAAATGACAATGGGGGAGACATGAAACATAACTTTGTATTTGTTTTTTAAGCACTTGATTAAATGTCCGTTCGTCTTTTATCCTGAGCGTGTCAGTCCTTGACCATAGCATTTTTTTGCTTACTCTCTAGTTAATCCTTCATGGAACTATAGGCAGCCCCCAGACCTTCACCCCTCCCACCCCAAGAGAAAGAGAAGCAGTAATGATCACTGTAGTCTTCATTTTAAGGTACTGCAGCTGAACAGAAAAATGATGGAAAATTATAAAATGTTGATCAAAATGACATAATAGGCTACACTAAACTTATACAGGAACAAATTGGTCGTATTTTATGTTTGAATGAGCATGTCATTGCCTGCTTAACTTTCTAAAACTAAAAGAAAATAAACAAAAAGTTCCTAAACACAGCATTGCTCACTCATGAGACTTCTAGTTTCTGAGCCATTGGCAAATGTCTGCCTATGCTGAGTTCTGCAGGTGGCATCCTGCTATCACTGCCCCAAGGGGACCTTGCGAACTAACCAGCAGCTCTGGGAACACAGGAAACAGCCCCGCCCAGCGGTGTCCTGGGCCAGGAGGGGAAGGGAGCGCCAAGCCACCACCTGCCCACCCGCAGCCTGCTTGCCAGACAAGAACACTGAGGCTCCTGCTGGAGAACCTACCGATTTCAGCAGGAAGATGGGAGATTTGGTTTTTTGGCAGATCCAGAATTCTCATGGCTTGAAACAGCTCGATATAAGTAGGAATGATTTGAATCAGGGTATTACTGATGTGCCATTCTTTCAGGTGTGTCTGCTCCTTCAGTGAATCCGGGAGCTCCTAAAACAGAATGAATGACATCAGTCACAACTAGTTCCTCAAGGTGTCGGAGCCGAGTGGCAGCATGCACAAAGCCAAGTACAACCAGGCATTTACGTAAAAGGCAAGAAGCAAGAGAGCATGGGGGAGAGCGTCAGGCCTAACCTTAGCCCACTCCATAGCCCCTCCAAGAAGCCACTTTAAGACTCCGGGGTTGTCATTAATTTCACTCTGGGGTTGTCATTAATTTCACAGATTAGCCCAATTACAAAACTGCCGTTCATTCATGATACTAAGATCAAATGTCCAGTGAACACAGACAACCAGGCTCACACCCATAGCCATGACATATATTGTTAATTTACAACACACTGATTTAACATCTCAAAACAAAATCTGTCTATGCACTGGATTTTAAAATTTGTGCTACATTTCCCCTCCCTAGGTAGTTGCTTGATAAAGATCTAATAGTTGCTGTACCAAATTTCTCACTGTTTTTCTGAGTCTATCATAGGAAAGAGCACCAGAAAGACAGCAGGGAGACCTGAATGCTGGGCCAGGCTCTGCCTTTTTCCAGGTGCACCACCTCCCTCGGCCTTCATTTGTGCAGTGACAGAGGAACTCAGCAGAATCCAAGGCCGCCCCTAGCTCAAGGGCTCTGGGATACAGTTGGAAAGGTGCTGAGAAGTGCTTATGGCTGGAGGTTCTCCAGGCGGGCTGGGTAACCCCTGTGGGGTAAGTGCTTAGACCAGGACCATGTTTGACAATGGCGCGTGAGAACGATTTACCAGCGGTATTTAACTGGAACTGCAGAAGAGCACCCACTGATCTCAGTGATGGGGATGCAGGAGAAAGAAGACTAGAGGTTGTACAGTAATAATCTCTCCCGGTTTCAAAGGGCAGCGCAGCCAACAAGTCAGTGTCCTAGAATATCGGCTCATTTAGAACCCACAACAGCCCTTAGAGGAAGCCAAGGCAGGCCTTAGCACTGGAGAAGATAAAATATATGGAAGTGGAGTAAACTGCCCCCAGATCACATGGCCAATAAAGGACAGCCCCCAGGACCCCCCCCTCCAAATTTCAGTCTCCGGGCCCAGAGTGCCTTCAGCCATAAGTTGGGGAGATAAAAAGAGATGCGCCCCAGAAAGGGACCATCGTCCCAGTTTGCTTGCCCATGGCACACTCAGGTGCTGCTTCTACCAGAAAACGTCAGATCACGGGCAAGCCCTGGAGATGCCTCCCCAAGCAAAGCAGCAGGTCAGGGGCACTGGGAGCAGGAGGCCACCTGTAAACACCTGAGGAAAGGGCACAGGGGGCATCTTTGTCCTGGCCTCAGACTCTCAGGAGGAAAAGCAGTTAAAGGGTCTGTCACTACCCACTAGGGGTTGTTACCTAAAAGACTCAGTATATTAAAAAAAAAAAAAAAAAAAAGGGTGGGGGGCAAAGAGTGATTTTAAAGGTCTGGGGGAGAGACCACAGGAGTAAACACTTTAAAGGCTGCGCCATCCTGGTGAGGGCCGCTGGGGTCGCAGCCCCTGCCAGCCTGGGAGGAATCCTGCTGCCCTCCCCAGGACTACTCGGTCTTGCATGGAGGAAGGGAGGAGAGAATCTGGTTCAGAGCAGGCAACTGGCTCCTCCCCATCCATGGGAAAGCTCTTCTTTGGGCCAAGGCCAAGGCCAATCAATGCCTGGAACAGAGCCCAGCAGCGCACATTGGGCCTTGCTGCACTCACCGTCCACTGCTCCCCAGAAAGTTCAAACACAAATGGACTGCTCCGTTTGTCTCTCTCCTTGAAAAGTGAGCTCTGCCTTGCGAGGGTGTTCCTTTCGATCTTTTCCAGAAGCCTCACACTGGTGTCTACAAAGCCATTCTTGCAGTACGCAGCCTGGGGGATGCCTTTCCTCCTGCACTCGGCCACGAAGTTCCACTCCTCCTTTATCCTAAATGGACAGCAGAGGCCGAAGTCACGTTCCTGGGGAACCGCCCTCACCTGCCTCGAGTAGCCGGCAGGCCACCTGGGCACAGGCGCAGCCCTTCCCCAGGCCGGCAATTTCCCCGCCGCCGCAGGAGACTCAAGCACCCCCACCCACCCAACCACCCAAACCTCAGCCCTCCTCCCTGCACCTCTTCTCTTGGTCCCTCTGCTGTGGGAATGTAAGGGGCATCTTAAACCCTCAGAGTTGTGAATTATCAGCAACTTTGACTAAAAAAGTAGAGAAGGAGAATCAGGGCCAGCAAGAGACCCCTGATTCAGAGCCTGGACCACGCTGTTAAAGGAATCACAGGTGTTGAAACATTCTAGTAAGTGCTTATAGACTGTCTTTCCACCAGCCAAGAGTTGGTAGTGTTAGCAAAGCTTGGTAGCAGCACTAGAGTGTGGTCAATGTCAGTAATTCCTCAGGAGAGCTGCAATGCCGGGGTGGGTGGCTGGGGACACAGCCGGACCCTGCCAGTCACCAACCCTCTAGATCCCAATGGATTTTATAAAGATCATATGTATACCGTATGATCCAGACATTCTACTCCTAGGTATTTCTATAAGACAAGGGAAAGTGTATAACTATACAAAGACCTGGGCATATGTTCATATTAGCTTTATAGCCAAAACAACCCAAATGCACCTTCACAGGTGAATGGATGGACACACTGTAGCTTATCCACACGTGGACTACCACTCGGCAATAAAAAGAAATAAACTCTTGATACACACTACCACGTGAATGAATCTCGGTGTCATCAGGCTGAACGAAAGAATCCAGACCCCAAAAAAAAAAAATTATTCTATTTATATAAAATGATTTGTAAGACTCTAATAAATGCAAAATCATCTACAGCAACAGGAAGGAGTGACTGCCCAGGCACCGAGGACAGGGGATGAGAAGAAAGAACCACCTAGAGCGAGGAAGAGACATCTAAGATGATGAATATGATCCTATCTTAATGGTGCAAATGGTTTTACGGAGGTATATGTACATCAAACTTTCCAAACTGTATCCTTTAAATACGTGTAGTTTCCTGTGTGTCAGTTATGCTCCTCAGTAAGGCTTTCATAAGAAACATTTTGTGTGGGGCGCCTGGGTGGCTCAGTTGGTTAAGCGACTGCCTTCGGCTCAGGTCATGATCCTGGAGTCCCGGGATCGAGTCCCGTGTCGGGCTCCCTGCTCAGCAGTGAGTCTGCTTCTCCCTTGGACCCTCCCCCCTCTCATACTCTCTCTTTCTATCTCATTCTCTCTCTCAAATAAATAAATAAAATCTTTAAAAAAAAACATTTTGTGGTCCCATTTTCATCACTCCTGCATCACTCCTCAATCCCCCTGCCCCTCTCTTGTTCTTTTGTGTGCACCTGGACAAACCTCAGTTTAGCTGGCATCCACCTCTCCCCCCCCAACCCCTGGCTCTGCCCCTGCACCCACCCAGGAGTGAAGGTGGAGGAAAATTCACTGCCTTGCAAACTGGCCTCGCTTTGAATGGTGACCCCTGACCCCAGGCCCCTCACTGCTGTCCAGCAGCCCTGCCACACTCCCAAGCTTGATCCTTTGCCCCAGGCCCTAGGTGACTCTTGTACATTTTCTCCCTTTCAAGCGAACCTCCACCAGTGCCTACCCCATCCTCCGTCTCAGAGCTCCTGGTTCAGGGAGGGAAGAAATGAAAGAGAACACAACGCATGGAACTCCCAGCACCACATCCACGCCACCGGCTCGCATCTGCTCCTGTCAACTCTGCCTGTGCTTAGGCTGGTCTGTAAGAACTCTCCCAGATCCTCCCTGTGGTTACACCGCCTCCCGAGCTAAACCCAGCCTCTCACCTGCTCAAGGACTTCCTGCCCCTGGTTCTCTCCTGAGTATTTTCCTCCTGTGGATCATTCCCATTGATGCATGCACCACGGTTATTTCTCCCAACTTAAAGGGCAACACTTCCACCTTCACCCCCCACCTCTACCCCCTGCAACCTCATGTCTTCCATCAAGCCCGCTGCACTTTATAGCCAACCCCACGAAAGAGTTGTGCTGACTCACATCCACAGTTCTCTGTTCCCATTCCCCTATTCTCTGTTGAACCCCCTTCACTCAGCATCCCGCTTCTTTGGAACTGTTCTCAAGGTCATCATGACCTCCACTTTGCTAGACGCAGTGGCCAAATCCAGTCTTCATCTTCCATCTGCAGCATTTGGCACAGCCCTTCCCCCCCAACCCCCCATGAAGCCTGACTGCCACTTGGCTCCCAGGACCTCCCTCTCTGCCAATTCTACTCCTACCTCTCTAGTCGCCAGGCTGACCGCCCCCCCTCAACTTCCCAACCTCCAAATCTCCAAGGTCCCAACACCCAGCCCTTGGGTCTCTGCCCTTCTCTATCTACACTCATTCTTTGGATATCTCCCAGTGCCGTGGTTTTAAATAGATCTGTATGCTGATGGTGCCCAATTATAGCTCTCTAGCCAAGACTGCCTCACTGAATCCAGACTCCTTGCTTCCCCTGTATCTCCAGCTGAGTGTCAAAAAGTGGTCCCAAATTAACATGTTCCAACCCAAATTCCTAATCCTCACCCTAAAACCCGCCTCTTCCCCATCCCAGGCCAACCCATGCCTTAGTGTTCACATTGCTCTTGTGTCTGCCTGGGACATTTGTTCCTGAATTTCTGCAGGGCTGGCTCCCAAGGTCTATGTCACAGTTTTTGCTCTTCCAAAATGACTTTGGGTATCATTGGAGTTTCAAGCTTGCCATTAAGCTGGGAGAAAGAGGAGCATTTTAAAAAAGTATTTTGCTGATGGCCCTGGTTAGCCCAGCTACCACCCTACCCAGATCCTAGTCACAGTGAGCTGAGCTGGGGTAGGCACTCAGCAATCAAGGAGGTAGGGCTTCAGGATCTACCTCTGACGTCTCCATGTAATGTCATAAAAGGGGTAAGTTTAAAAATTCCAGCACATGGAGAGAGATGAGTTTAATACTGGGAGAAAGTGGTAGGATTGGCTTGGGATTGTTACTTTTCATTATTAGCGCTTCTGTATAATTTAAATATTTTAATACCATGTGATAAAAATAAATGTAAATACCTAGCGTCACCTGGGCAATTCGGTCAGTTAAGCATCCGACTCTTGATTTTGGTTCAGGTCATGATCTCAGGGTCCTGGGATCGAGCCCTGCGTCCAAGTTCTGCACTGGGCGTGGAGCCTGCTTAAGATTCTCTCTCTCCGTTTTCTCCCCCTGCCCCTCCCTCTGTTCATGCACTCTCTCCCTCTTTTAAATAAACAATAAATATTTAAAAATAAATAAATAAATGAATGTAAATACCTGCTTATAGATCTAGACCTGATTGTAGCAGTCAAGGATGTGGGGCAGACCCCGGGTCTAAGACATGCGGATTGAAGGAATAAAAGAAATCCCCCCCCAAAATGGCAACAGCCAACAGCATGGCCACCGTTCACCAAGCCTTGTGTTCACCAAGCACTTTTCAGGTTAACGTCTCTTCTACCCTCATTTCTTAGACCGAACCCAAAGGGCTACCCTGCCAATGGAATGGAACAATGCCCGTTAAGCCCTACAGAATACATCCTTCCTATATCACAAATAAACCAACATCAATGGCTCACATATTTTGGTGCAGCCAATATACAATGGAGAACAAAAGAATATTAGACACATCTCATTAAAAAGAAGCATATACCAAATCTTTTTTGGATTTCGTTTTAAATGTTTTCTATCCCATTCCCTCCAAAACCTCATGAGAATATAAGCTATTTTTTGGTGAGAGTCAAGATGAGACTATGAACTCTTTTTTTCAATTCCATTCTCTTCCTTGAGACTAATTAAAATAAATAAACTGTCTAGCATAACATAGAGTTGTCAAATTGCTACATTGTACACCTGAAACTAACGTAACATAGTGTGTCAGCCACATTTCAATAAGAAAAAGGGAGGGAGATCAAAATAAACGAATAAATAAATAAACAAACTGTCTTTGTCTTTATACTTTATCACCCGTATAGTTGAATTATCATCCTCTTGCATCAATTTTAGTAGAACTTCAAATACAAGACAGATAGACATGTAAAATGATGCCATTACAGTTCCACTAATTAAATCAGTAAATGTGCAAATAAAATGCTCTTCCCTTAAGAAAAGAACCCACAATCCTAGGCTGGATGGCAAAGAGCCTCCCTGGATGAGAAAGTCCTCTCTCAGAGCCTTACAGCGGTTCTTCTATTTCCCCCACTTGGTGACTGAGTTTCAGATAGAGTGCTAGTCTGTATTGTATCTCTGCTTATAACATTTTTTTTTAAGATTTTATTTATTTATTTGACAGAGAGAGAGAGTGAGAGAGGGAACACAAGCAGGGCGACTGGGAGAGGAAGAAGCAGGCTTCCTGCTGAGCAGCGAGCCCGATGTGGGGCTCGATCCCAGGACCCTGGGATCATGACCTGAGCCGAAGGCACATGTTTAATGACTGAGCCACCCAGGTGCCCCCTCGGCTAATAACTTTTTTAAAAAGATTGTATTTATTTATTTGTCAGAGAGAGAGCACAAGCAGGGGAAGCGACAGGCAGAGGGAGAAGCAGGTTCCCCAATGAGCAGGTAGCTCAGTGGAGGGCTGGATCCCAAGACCCTGGGATCATGACCTGACCTGGAGGCAGCTGCTTAACTGACTGAGCCACCCAGTGCCCCCTGCTTATAACTTTTAAGTTTTGATACATGCTTCATGAAACAAATACAGTCTTACAAAAATGAAGTACCATGAAGTGAGGTCACAGAGCAACCTACAGTGTTTTGCCTGTTTTCATAAAATTAAATTAACCAGATAATTGCGTGTTCTGATTAGGATTTCACCAGCTTTTCAATATATTGATTTCCCCACAGAAAACAAATCTTGAGAAACTAACGGTTAACCTTCAAATAGTATTAACAATCACAGTATGAATCATAGTATGGAAACTCAGAGACACCTGCAAAAAACGTAAATTTACTACATTCATTTTTTGCAGGGAAGCTAATCAGCTTGCTCCTTGAACCCCCACATTCCTTCCTCCACCATCCCGACTTCCTCCTCACCTGCCCAGCCAATATGATGGCTGTTTTTCTTATCTTGAGCTAGAAAAGCCTAACAAATCCCTAAGAAGTTTTCCGTCTTAGGGCAAGATAAGACGTGGCACAAGCCCAATTCAGGGCCGACCTGGTGTACAGGAGGTATGGGAAGCTGTCCACAAGGCCATTTAGCACCACAATGCAAGACAGAGGCCAGGAGGCAAAAACCACTCCAAAACAGCTGAGAGAACAGTTTGTGGACCCGGGCTCTCTGCAGATGCCTCCAGCTCCAAGAACCCTCGGGATGGTGGGGGAGGTTTACGCCAGCTACAGACACTTTCCCCAAACCCTCCAGGGCTTGGGTGCCCCTTCAGCAAGTTGTCCTACCCTAGAGTAACCCTACATGCTAGGAGTGGGGAGGAGGTCTGAGCAGAGCTGAGAGCCACTTTGGGCTCACGGGGTCTGGGGACCTGTGTAATTCGTACTAGTGTAGATCACTCAGACCCATTACCGCAGGTGTTCCCCGGTCTGAGGTTCCAGTGCTTAAATTCAAGATTCACATCATGTTGGATAACCTCAGATTGGTGCAAGTGGAAAGAACGTCCCAACTGTCTGAGATTGCAGCGTTGTGCAGGGGAAAGCTTGGTCAAATCCTCCACTTAGCAGCTGTGTCAGCTCGGGCAAGTCACTTAGGTCCCAACTTCCTTGTCTGCAAGTTGGGGATGAAGATAACCACCTGGAACAGCTGTGATGCTTACAGTAACAGCTTAATTATCAAGCATGACCAGAATAGGTATTGGTTTGATCCAAATAGTTCATAAAAATGGAGAACTAATAGAGAGACATTCACACCTTACACCTTTGGTTTTTAACTTAAAGCACAGAAAAATATCAACCTTTGCCAACTTGAGATAGGGTCAGGGACCTCCTCCGAGAATGGGTCTGCCAATCAGAAATCCCATTCTGCCTTCCTTATATAAACCACACCGTCCGCACATCATGCAAGAGCTCCAGTTTTGGTTCCTTCATAGGGAATAAAAAGTAGGCACGCAAAGCCATCAGAATGTGCAACCTCTCCAACTTGCCATACCTTTTTGGATTTGTGCAGTGCTGAGTCAATTGTGTGGCTCATGGCTGTCCCAAATGTAGTTTTTCCAAAGTGCTCAGCTTCATTTCATATACGTGTAATTCTCTTTTACGCCTATTCCATGAGTTTACATGAGCACAGTCAAATTACCTCCTTTCGATCCAACTAAAAATGGTGTCAGTACAGTGAGTCTTACCCAGCATTCAGTTCAACAGGTGAGGGTGGAAATGCAGGACTGCGAGTGACCTTGAGCTGCCCTAGGGCATGGTCTGCCCAGGTATGGAAAGCATCAGAGGGCCTTGTGAGGCCAGCTGAGCAGCCTTCCACAGAGTGTACTGTAGAGAGTTTACTGTATCATGGCATCTCCCCTGTGCCTGGTACAGTGCCTGGAATGCATGTAGGTCCATACACCACAGGGCAGGGGCGGGGGGCGGGGGGCGGGGGCGGTCACTGTTATGGGAATCAGACATTCGCTCTGGGCAACAGTGGGATGGCTCTGAAGCCCAATGAGCAAGAGTCACTGAGAAATCCCAAAAGAAGGGCATCCCCCTCCACACCACAACCGCAGCCTGCCTAGTCCCCATTTGCTAAAGAAGCTACAGGTAAGGACAGAAAACACATACTTTTCCAATGCACTTTTCTCGAGCCTTTCTGCCTCCTTCTTCTGCCAAGCTTTGTGCTTCTTGACACGCGTTTCCCACAGGGCTCTGATGACAGAAATGTCGAACACGGCTACTTTGTGTCCCATGTTGGAAGCAGGAAATTACCTATTTAAGAAACATACATATGTCAGCTTCACACACACACGGAAGAAAATAGATTTAGCATGAACTTTATTTTTTTTTAAGATTTTATTTATTTATTGGAGAGAGAGAGAGTGCGCATGAGCCGGCGGTGGGGGGGAGGGGGCAGAGAGCAGAGGGGTAGGGAGAAAGACGAGCAGACTCCCTGATGAGCATGGAGCCCATGACACACACGGGGCTCGATCCCAGGACCCCAAGATCATGACTGGAGACCTGAAACCAAGAGTCAGACGCCCAACCGACTGAGCCACCCAGGCGCCCCAGTTTTAGCAAGAACTTTAAAATGAAACAAGAATGAATCCATTGTCTTAAGTAATGATGAGATGCCCTATTAATTCCAAGATGGCAGTTTGCTAATGTTCTTAAAGCCTGATAGTACTCTGGGTAAGTCAAGTCCAACACCCACTCTGTGATTTCTCCTCTACAAGGTCACATTTGTGTCCCTACCTCTCAGCTGAATTGTGGGTTCCCAAAGCCCCCTGGGCCCTCCGCAAGCCTCATGGTTCCAGGTCTCCAGTTGTGATCTTGGGGTCCTTGGATCGAGCCCACGTTCCACTGAATTTTCTAGCATCTCATCTTCCCAATAGAGCTGTACCATACTCAACGGTACGTTTGTGAGTTAATCAGAACATACACGCGTGCGCGCGCACACACACACACACACACACACAAAACACACATACACACACTCCTGATGATCTGAGGCTACACATCAGTCACCGTTAAGCGACAAAACCGATCCTTGCACCAAGCGCATGAGCACTTTCCCAGCCAGGACTGACCACACCACAGAGCATGGGGAACTGTTCTGTGAGGGTCCCCTGCAACATGAAACCTCACAAGCTGCTGGTCTCTGTTTACTGGTTTTCCAAGTGCAAGGAAAATCAAAGTCAGGTACATCTTGGCCCTTCATTGAAGTGAGACCCAGCACAGTGCCTACCACACAGCAGGCCCTCCATAAATACTTGTGGAATCAACAAATGAAAACTGAATAAAAGGTTTGCATCCAGATTGCTCCCCTCTCAGGCCGCTCAACGAGCTTTCTCTCTTCTTTTTTATGTTCCCATCTTGCATCTTGTTTTTACTATGTGCCTTAAGTGATTATTTGTTCACAGCAAAAAAAAATTATTAGGATGTAAAAGTACATTTTAATGTTCATTCCACTAACTTACACTGATCTCCCTTATCTAAAAATAACTTCCTAGTTATCATTTTAAATTTCCCCTACTTAAGAGCACTGAAATCTGGCTCCATCCTTTTCCTGATTTGCACACACACACACAGCATGTCAGTTGGCAGGCAGATCACAGGACTGTTGAATATTCTCTGCTCCAGTTCCAGACGCTTCTAAATGGCAGTCAGTGGGGATACAAAATCAAATATTTAATCTTCTGACTCAGCTGTGTACTCTATGAATGGCTTGTCATGCTGAGTGGGAGAGCCGGCTTCTGTTTGTGCAGTGGAATGCTGGAGAGCCCTCATTTTCGTCTAAGGAGCTGAAAATGCTGGCCCCGATTTACTTCTATCTTTCCCTTCATTTCTGTCATCTGGGACTGTCTTTTGTCTCCCTTAAAATTCTTTTACCTAAAGGAGATTTCTGACAAAGGTGCCTCTAGTGGTTTTGATTTGCGTTTCCCTGACAGCTAATGATGTTGACCGAACATCTTTTTATGTGCTTATCGACCATTTTTTTAAAGATTTTATTTATTTTTTAAAGGCATTTTTAAATTTTATTTTATTATTTTTTTAAAGATTTGATTTATTTATTTGACAGAGAGAGACACAGAGAGAGAGAGAGGGAACACAAGCAGGGGGAGGGGGAGAGGGAGCAGCAGGCTTCCCGCGGAGCAGGGAACCCCCATGCAGGACTCAATCCCAGGACCCTGGGATCATGACCTGAGCTGAAGGCAGCCGCTTAACGACTGAGCCACCCAGGCGCCCCAGACCATTTTTATACCTTCTTGGGAGAAATGTCTATCCAGATCCTTTGCCAAATTTTAAACTGGGCCATTTGCCTTTTTCTTGTTGACTTGTAATAATTCTTTATATATCCTAAGCACAGGTCCTTCGTCAGATACGTGATTTGCAAAACTTTTTCAATTCCATCCTTTTACTTTTAACCTAAGTATATGGTCATATTTGATGTGAGATTTTGCAGACAGAAGCTTTTTTTTTTTTTTAAGTAGGTTCCACACCCAGCGTGGGGCTTGAACCCACAACCCTGAGATCAGCAGTCGCACCCTCCACTGACTGATCCAGCCAGGCGCCCCCGTTGACCGAATCTTGTCAGATCATTTATTTCACACACTCCAACAATGTCTTTTAATTGGTGTATTTGGGCAATTTACATTTAACATAATTACTGATACTTTGCATTTAGGTCTAAATTCACTTATTACCTATTTTCTGCTTCACTCCTCTTTTGTTTTCCTCTTTACACGTTCAAGTCTTCCTTTGTGTTTATCTGAACATTTTTTTAGTATTCAATTTATTTTCTCTATTGTGTTTTGGACTATGTTTCTCCGTGTGGTCTTTTCTTTTTCATGGTTGCCCTAGGGAGAATAAGCTTCCAGCTTCCCTTCTCATAGTCCATCAGAAACAGTATTTTAACCACTTGGAATGAGACGTGGAAACCTTACTACCACCGAGGTCACCTAGGCTCTAGCCTTGGTGCTGCTGTTGTCCCACGTCCCCTCTGGCAGCATTTCCCTTCTGCCTAAACAGCTCCCTTCAACAGTCCCCTCAGGCAGAGGACATCGGCTGACAAATGCTCTGTTCCCCTTCGCCTGAATATCTTTCACTCCTAAAGATTGTTTTTGCTGAATAGAGAATCCCGAGTTCACTCTTTTCGCTCAGCACTTTATAGGCACTGCCCGTTTCTTCTGGCCTCCATGGTTGCCCAAGAGAAGTGTGCAGTCGTTGGAACCCGAAGTCTCACAGAGGTGATGCATCGTGGTTCTCTCATTTTGTTGCTTCTCTCGATTTGTTGAGAACTGTTCCTTGTCTTTGGTTTTCCTGTTTAATTATGACGAATCTGGGCATGGATTTCTTTGGGTTTATACTGTGTGGGATTTGCCTAGCTCCTCTGGTCGGGAGCTTTTATCTTTTGCCAAATTTGGGGATTTTCAGCCATTTTATCCTTCCAACTATTTTTTTTCTGCACTGCCCTCTTCCTCCCTTCCTCCTGGGACTCGGACAACACAAATATTAGCCCTTTCAATATCGTTGTGTAGATTCCTGAGTCTGTTCACTATTTTAGAAGTCTCTTTTCCTCTCTTTTTTCAGATTGGTAATATTCAGCAATCCATCTTCAAAGGTCCCACCCCTTCCCTAGATCATCTCCATTATGTTTATGAATCTATCCAGGGAGTGCTTTTGTTTCAGTGATTGTCTATTTTATTTCTAAAGTTGCCCTTTGGTTCTTTATATCTTCTACTTGTTGCTGATCCTTTTATCTTTCCATTCACACCCGAGGGCAGAGGGAGAGGACCCCAGAAAGGACAAACTTGGAAGCTCTTCCAACCTCGTTTGAGAAGTTGCAGCTCAGCCCAGCAGACAGCGAGGAAGTCCTCTGGTTTGGTCAGACTGGTCTGGCTCACTGGGCAACTCATAGCGCCCACCACTCCACCCCGCACCCAGAGCGCCGGTGGAAGGCCACGTGACCAGCCACCAGGATTGTGCACATATGCAGTGGGGGTCCCGGGTCGCAGGAAACCTTCAGAGCACAGGGGCTCTATGAGGGCTCTGTTTTCTAGGTGGAAAGGACTGCAGAAAAGTTCTTGCTAGCCAGGGCTGGGGGGTTGCAAAGGACCAGGTTCTGGGCCAGGGGCTGGGGCCGGCTCCAGTAACCGTGCCCCTGCCTGCCCCCTCCCGCCCACACTGGAAAAGGTAGGGGAACTCCTCCCACCGCACTGTCCCTCCAGGGCTCTCCCCTGAGAAAGTCTAACGTGGAGTTCTCTTTAAAGGACTAGTACTTCAAGGAACAATGCTGTGTGTCACACAGTACAGATGTTGAAGGCTACGTTCAGAGCTGAGAGGCAGTACGTTGATGAATGACAGAGTAGGTGATCAGTGTGGTTCAGCTCAGACCTCACATTCCTTCCCCCGCAGACTGTCCTCCGATGGCTCAGTGCCATTCAGCTGCCCATGTCATCCCCCAGTGGCCATCTGGGATGGAGGCCTTGGTCCACCCTGGCCTTCAGCTCAAACAGCAGAAGGCATGCTGATTAGGGTCAGATCCCCAGATGCAGCTCAGGGATGAGCCCAGGAGCTCTAAATGACTTTATGGTTGTTCTCCAAGCTCTTCCCTCTCCTCAGTTCCCCGGGTTCTTCTAGATTTCTTTTTTTTTTTTAAAAAGATTTATTTATTTATTTTGAGAGAGTGAGAATGAGAGAGAGAGAGAGAGTACATGAGAGGGGGGAGGGTTAAAAGGAGAAGCAGACCCCCCGCTGAGCAGGGAGCCCAATGCGGGACTCGATCCCGGGACTCCAGGATCATGACCTGAGCCGAAGGCAGTCACTTAACCGACTGAGCCACCCAGGCGCCCTAGATTTCTGGGGCTCCTTTTTACAGTCCTCTGGCCAGAGAACTGGGGCTTTAATCCCCCTGCTTTGCTATGCATGCTCTTTTGGGGGCCAAGTAGCAGGAGGGCCTGGGGAGAGAAAAAGCAATGAGAGTTTTCTCCACCCTCTGGGGCCTGCAACTCCTCCGATCCAAAAGGAAAGACCCCTTTCTCAAAGTTTTGAGTGACTGAGGCCCTCCACTATCAACCTCCCCCTGCCATGCCCCTGCCCCTCCTGTTACTACTAAATCCTTTGGGGGCTGAGGCATGACAGGATGGTGAAAAGAAGAACAGGGATTTGCCTGCACTCTCTGAGCATGAGGGGTCCCCTCTTCCACCTGTGGAGCAATATTAGGCATCCTTGTGCCCAATTCTGGGTTCGA